CACACATGAACCATGGCACAAAAATATTTCAAGTCTTAAATATTGTAGCAATATCAAACACATACCAGAATGTTTTTTACATTAAAAAGGCTACATTTCTACTAGTTTGAATGATCTGCGACCCCCACCCGGTTGATCGAACAAATCAATATTCTCATAAATATTAAACCTCGCAACTATTTCCTTCCCAATGTATACCACCATGTAATATCGAACAAAACCGTCACCCATTTTATTTTAAAGGTGGGTCTTGATAAGTTTGATTACTAAGAACGCTCCATATCTGGAATTGAGACTGGCAGAGAGATGACCAATTGCAATAATCTATCAACCAATGAATGTGCGGAAGTTTTACCTGTTATGTCCAGTAGGTTGCTCTGTGGCATGTATCTCCATGATTGGATTTGCATCTTCAACAGTAGGTTGCTCGGTGGTGTCTTCCTCTTCATGATATATGCAATTCTAGTAGTACAAACAAATACATGATCTGTTAACTGGACTGACAACCAACAAAATGCACTAACTACTAACAGTTGATTGATTGGTTTGTGCGATCTGAAAATGACTCTAAAATATTATCAATCTATAAATAATATACTAATACATAGAGGAATTGAGTGTGGTGGTGCCGCCCGGCCAATCATTGTCCCGTAGAATTGTACTGGATTGATGAGCGAGAGCTAAACATGGTCGACGGCGTGGACGCTCAGCGGCCGGCGATGATGTTCAAGTGCTCCATGAAGCGCTAACCCTAGCCGCCTAGCACGTCATGCGCAGCGTCGACACGGAATATGTGGAGTCTAGGAAGTCGCCACAAGCTCACAATGCATTAGTGCAGCCGATCGGTGTGTGTATTGGGTACGTACGTGCAGCATGGCCCTTGTTACGTTGTTCCAAATTTGTTTTGGGCTTTGACACTTATTAGATCTTAGCCCATATCCTTGCTAATGACCGGAGTAATTAGGGTTCTCCTATTTAGCGCTGCAGGCGCCCCTTATTGGCAAACGGGCGCCTGCAGCTTCGTTCGTCCTACCACCAGGCTAACAAGCGGGAACTGATAAATATCAGCTCTTTATTACTTCTACTCCTTGGCTCTCTCTTTTTTCTTTTTTCGTTTTCCTTTTTTTCATTTTCATTTTCGTTTTCTGTTTTTTCTTTCTTCTTCTTCCTTGTTTTCAAAATCAATGAATTTTTTTTCTATTTTAGTGCACTATTTTAACAAATGATGATTTTTTCAAATCCAATGAGATTTTTTTCAAATTTAATTAACTCTTTTCAATTTCGAAGAACTATTTTCAAATTCGATGAACTTTTCTCAAATCTGATGAACTTTTTTCAAATTCGATGAACTTTTTTAAAATTTAATTAGGAATTTTCAAATTCGATGAACTCTTTTTCAAATTCAATGAACTTTTTTTTAATTCGACGAACTTTTTCCAATTTCAGTGAACTTTTTTCAAATTCGATGAACTTTTTTCAAATTTGATGAAGAATTTTCAAATCCGATGAACTCTATTTCAAATCAAATGAACTTTTCTCAAATTTCATGAACTTTTTATAAATTCAGTGAACTTTTTTTCAAATTCGATGAACTTTTTTCAAATCTGTGAACTTTTTTCAAACTCATGGTCGTTTTCATTGTTGTGAACCTTTTTTACAAAATTTGTGCCCTTTTTTTCTATTTCATGAACTTTTGTCTTTGAATTCGTGAACTTATTTGAATACATGAACCTTTTTTACATTTGCCAACTTTTTTATGCATGTTTGTCAACTATCCAAATTTTCTATATTTTTTGTCCATACATTCACCTTTTTCATCAATGTTTTCAAATAATTCAACAAACTAAACGAGATAAGTAGCGCTGCGGCGGTGGTTCTTAAACTAAGTCGCGCTATAGTCAATCACTAGCAGCTAGTAGGTGTACCGGTTGGCTAAAGTAGAAGATGACTGTGAGGTCGCGTTTTACAGGGTGATACTGATTTGTCAAGTCGTGATTGGATTAAGGGGGGAGGGACGGGCCCCACCTAG